CTCAGCCTTCTCATCCATTGTTACCATAGTTTGCCAGGGGGCAGTGTGCACTTTCTTTGACATTCATGGAGATTTGGCATCAAATCAGGGCTGAACTATTTCTTAGGCAAACTATTAATGAATGCAAAATGCCCAGGTGTAGAGGACAGTTATTACATTTATATTATTAAATTAGTATAATGAAATTGAGAAACAAAAGAAATACATTATCTCCCATGAATTTTATGAAGTACTCCTTCACTGAAGACCCTTTCCCTATTTTTATTTTTTTCCACATCAAATCTTCCAAATCTTCCACCAGGGTGTTACTTTATTGTGCACCAGAGGAGGGAGATACTTATCCACAAACCTTCTGAGAAATACATTTACAGGAAATAAAAAACAAGCAAGTCTTTCTTCACCACACTCTGTGTGAAGAGACTGTTTGGTCTCACACCTGTTAAATAGCTTAGTTAGGGATTAAACTAGTGCTAGCTACTGAAAATGTAGTGAGCTGCACAGTGAACATCACTTCAGGTCTTCAGGTCTTCAGGTGCTGCAATGCATGAGTGTTAAGTGCTGAAATGCATGAGTGTTATCTGTGGAAATCAGAGCCCACTGAGTGTCATACACAAACGACAATCAATGCAGTTCTAAGAAGTCCATCTTTTTAATTGCTTTGCTGGCAGATGGATTCTGCACAGTCTCATTTTCTCACTGCAGGCTGCCTTTGTTTTTTCTCACTTTCTAATCAGATAATTCAGTATGGTTTGCAGACACATCACTCTGCAGAGACATATACAGCACTAAAAAGGTCTCACAGGGTTTTTTTCTGCAGTGTTGGAGTTGCTCCATTCTGGTGACTTAACCCTTCAAAACCTAAAACATCTCAATAAAAAAGGAAAAAGATTTTACATATGTGAGGGTTGCCATTTTGGTTTTGAGATAATGGAGCCATTTCCACTTTCTCTCCATTCTCCTTGTCTGAAAGTCATAAAAGGTTTACAGTCAGCCTCTTCATTTAATGAAATGAAAGACTTCATGGAACACTCAAGCTTCAAGCTGTCTCCTGAAATACTTCTCCTGTATGAGCATCTGAAAAGTTTTTGAAAATTGATTTGCTTTATTCATCTAGGAAAAGATAAGATGACCTGATATTTTGACTCTTTCCAAGTGTATGGAGAAGTCAAAGGCTTTTAAAAGAACCCATGTCCTAAAAAGTGAATGGATTATTTAGGTGATGTGCATTGTTCAGCCTTGTAGTGCCTACCATGGTCTCTATACATCCAGTGGCTCAGGAGTTCCTGATTTATTTAAGCTGCTTTCAGGTACTTGCCCCTGGAGAACAGAGATCTCATATTGATTTGTGGGTTTGTTCCTTCAGAGTACCAGATCTCTTGAAGAACTTCTGTTTGTCCTTCTTTTTTCTTGTAACAGCAGAATGTTGCTCTGATCTGCCACTGTTCTTTGTGCCACCCTTCATAGCAAGACTTCACCTTCTCATGAGTCAGGCTGTTGCACAGTGGATGGCTAAATTTCTTTCTGAGGTTTTGAAGGAATGCTTCCTTTCATGATTGTCCTCTCTGTGCACAGCACTCGCCAAGCCACATCAAGAAGGCTCTGCTTCAGCAGTAGAGACCTCAGATTTGAGGGTAAAAGAATTATTACACAGCCTTTGTGTATTTTTGTATTAGTTCTTAAAAACAACCTATGTGTTGCCATACTATTTCCCTTGGGGATGGGATTCCTGCTATAATATAGAGATATCTCTGCCTACGATTGATGTCAGCAGTGAGATTCCATGTTTGCTAAAGAAATACCAGCACATGCTGACATTGCAAAGAGGGCACAGTACTTGTGCTTTCATTCAGCATCACTGTAAGCAATTTCCCTATTCTTTCAGTTCATGTTTGTGAGTGCAGCTGGAACCTGGAGGCCAGTGGGCTGGAGATGACAAATTTGTTTTGATCCAAGGAAGGCAGAGTTCTTTTGAAATCAAAGTCATTGGTGTTGAAATCTAAATTAAAATGACCCAATTGCCAAGGCTTCCTCAGTGCAGAAGGGGGTTAATTAGGCATCCATCCTTCTGAGCAGTCCCTGCTTTGAGAGAATGAGTAACAACATGAGCTGGAGTCTACACTACATAATACCATTAGGTTTATTACTCTGCTTTTACGGCTCACAGTAAAAAGAACTGTTGCAATTAATGAATGAAGTGAATACAATGCTGCAGTCAAGGTCTGTGTGAGGCATAAAATACAGAGCCTAGTTCTGCCAGTCAGATGCTGGCAGGAGAAAGCACCATAGTTTGTGAGGAAAGGAAAATGAGTGAAAAGAAATCTCTCCCTCACATGTATCTGACAGCATCCTACCAAAACTCTCCAGAAATGATAGCTGGGAGAAGAGAGGAAGTTAATGAAGGCTCAGAGGAAGAAAAAGACCGTTCAACAATTAGCCAGGAACTGAAGACACTCCTCTGCTGCAGCAGGCAGGTTATATGTAGTGTTATGAAAAGAAAAAAAAAAGTTTCCAGTTCCAAATTTCACGCTCTTGCACCAGTGTAAATCCCAAACAGTCACTGCTGACTGTTCACTGTTGTGTAGCAGAGAAATGTAGATTGTGTTCCTCTTCTCAAGCATTAAACTGCTTGACTGAAAACAAAGCCAGCTAACCCCAAAGGGCAGTAACAATATATATTCCTCTCTTTTCATTCCGTTTTCACTGGTTATGCACCCAATTTAAAAGCAAACAGTTACACATGCCAATCACATTACAATTCCTTACATTTTCTTGTATTCTATTTCCCACTCAATTAGCTGTCATCTGTTCTGCCTTTATCCTCTAAACTCTTCAGGACATGAAATATCACTTTTCAGCTTGCACAGCATGGAAAAAAAATAGATCTTTGATAATTACTGTAATATAAACACATACTTGTGATCACAATGATTGCAATTGCATAAAATGAAAATCATAAATATTATTTCTCAAAGCTCTTGTTAAAGGCCCTGAGATGATTGTTAGCTAATGATAGAAACATATTGCTTTCAGGGCAAGCTAGGCCATCATAAAGGCTTAATATCTTCCACTGGAGCAGCTAGGTTTGTTGGAAACCGGACACCATTGCCAGATGGAGCACAGGTCTGTGTGTTACTGTTCTGTTGCAAAAAGCCTCATGAGTTCTGGGTCCCCCAGAACAAGGCAAGAGACTTCATATGATCTAGTTTGCAAGAGGAGTGATTGTTGCATTCAGAAAGCAAGTTTCTTCAGGCATGGTTTTTTTAGATTAGAAAGGCACACACTTTGCCAACCAGAGAGCAGGGCAGGCAGCAGTCACTGAGCAGCATGGACAGTTTGTGCAAGGAGTCCTTACACTGAGAAATGCTAGGGAAATAGAAAACCATGTTGGCATAACTCTAAAAGAAACATTATATTCTCATAGAGCTGGTTATATGTGTAAATGTTTACCCCCTCTCAACCATGTACAGATGTTTCCCATAGGATAAAGCATTTTCAATATGTTCTAATGGTGGGAGTGGGGGTGAGGGGCAGAAGGGGTGTAAGGTGTGTCTAAAGCTTTTGTCCTTTGAAAAGTGCTCATTTGTCTTCTGGGTTGTGTTCACATGCTTGACCTGCACTCTGTTCTTCCTCCTTGTTTTTCCCCCAGTACTGTGAAGTTGCAAATTTGTTACGAGTCAAGCATCTGCAAAGCTCTCTCTCGGTGGAACTATTTCATAGCAATGCTGTACTTGAATTCAGTGTGAGGAGATCACCTGTGGTTTCTGTGCTGTGCAGTGAGAGAGATCACTTACAGAGCTCTCTGTTGATATTGTTTTCTTGGCTTCCCTTTGATGTTGACACGTGCAGCCATATAAATAAGTGATAAAGTGAAAAATAAGCTTCGGAAAGACCACAGCTCTGACAGCCAGATGTGTTCCAAGTGGTAAATAAGAGATACGTCAGAAAGAAAGTGAAATGTGTGGAAGGAAGAAAGTAATTCTTAAGAACATTAGTGTGTTTCTGTCCCAAACCCCTGCAACTTTGCAGGTTTGCTTTTATACTTTCTCCTCCATGGCTCTTAGTGCTGACATTTACTGAAGAAGGGAATGAGGATCTGATATAACATCTTCTGAAGTTATTACTGTCATTTGTACTACAGTATGAGGACCTTGACCAAGACTTGGAGTCCCAGGCACTGTACAAAAATGTAGTCACCAGTAAAAATAGCCCAAAGAGCTTGCAGTCACAATAAGTAAGATACATAGAAAGTGCCAGTGGAAGCTCAGAGGTAGTGCTGGCCACAAAGCTGACTTATCCACTTCTCTCTGTCGTCTTTACATCACACTGCTTCTGCCAAGTCCTTCTGATGACCTCTTAGCACAGGTGATCTTGGCCAGCAAGTGTGTAGGGACAGCAGCTACCCAGAGCTACAGGGCGTCTGCAGGAAAAGATGAAGGAATAGACTTCAGTCATTATTCTTGCTGTACAGTAATTTGCTTGCAATCTGTGCAAGAATAAATTGCAGACTAATTTATCCTTTGTATGCAGAGCAAGTTCCACAGTTTGAAGAGGGAATGTATGCCAAGGATGCTTGTCAATACCCTGGCAATCCTCTTGAGGGATAAAAAATGTGAGTCAGTCTGAAGCTCCTGCTCCCAAGTCAGATTCATCACCTTCGTTTGCCTTCTTGCTGTGCAATGTGGTGTATTCCCAGTCTTGCCTAAAGAGCAGTGGGATGGATGACCTTCGCAAGGGTCAGCCTGGTGGCAGAGACAAATTCTGACAGAGATCTTTGACTTTCATTTGCCTTCAATTTGCCATACTCTATTATCACAGTGTACAGCCATACTGCTTTACTGCTTTACTCCCACAGTGGCAGACACTCCTTTTTACATGGAAACATGTTTCCCAGCCCTGTCATCTGATAACCAAAGGGTGTCATCCTCTGTCCATAGTGCTAGGGACAGCTTGAGTTATGGAAAGCCGATGAGAGATGGTCAACTCTGTGACCGTAGGAAAACTCATTACAAAAAAAATCCCAATCCTGAAGCTTTATGAGTGATGAAATAATTAGCCCCTCTAGTTCCTGTGGAGCAGTGAGTCCCCCACAAGATGCACTTGTACCCATGGTGGGTGCAGTGGGTGGAGTTTACAAGCAGTGTGAGAAACGTTGCAGTTGTACTTTCTGTCCTCACAACTGCTGAATTATGTACATGTGCATAAGCACCACACCTCTGCTTCCTCCTTCACTTTCTTTTTCCATTTCTCGTCTCCTCAAGCAAGGACTGGTGTGTCACTCCTGCATGTGTCACATGTATATTCACAACTCCAGTATCTAGTCCAACCTAGTGCCAGCCCAAGTGCTTTCCAGATGATAACCTAGCAGAGATGAAACATGGAGAGGCCAGGCAGGATGAGCCAGCTGGCTGCAGCTGGGAGAGGAGGGACTTTAGAGTGCAAGCCAGTGTCACCGTGATGATGAGTCACCCAGGTACGCACAGTAGCTACAGTGGCGGCCCTTCCAACGGCCACAACATCCTTTGCACTGTCTCTTGTTTCCTGTTGTCAGCACAAAACCAGTTTGCCTTTAGCAAGTAAAACCCTTTGTTTCTCTGTATTTTCCCACTGTCTTGGATCCTTTAGGATTTTCCTGTGCCTTTGCAATCTATACGCATATGAAATGCTAAACTTGGAGAGATTACAGCATGAACTCAATCCTAAGGGATCTGAGAGTGCTACTCAGCTGCTAGTGCTCGTGTCATTCAACAGAGGCAGCACTGAATTGATTGGTGCCTCAGATTTCACAGATTTTTGGTTCTGATCTTTTCTTCTGCTCTTCAGTAGTCAAAAGTGCTAAACATTAGTTTGTTGACCCACATTGTAACCCACCATTTATATGAAGGAAGAAGACACTCCCACACCAAGTTGTACAGATGTGCAACTTCCTCACACAACTAATGATACATCAATTGGATTCCTTCCATCGGTAAACAGGCACAAGAACTTGTTGTTTGCAAGAACAAGGAGTTAATCTTTATTGACCAAGCATTCATTATGGCAGCTATCGAGAACAAGTGAGTTTAATTTTTATAAAAAGGTCTATTTAGTGGGGAAGGTGAATGTTGTATTTTGGATTTGGGCAAGAAGGGTTAGTCAAGACCTTGGTTTTCCTGAGCTGTAGCTGGGGCACAAGAAGAGTACAACATGCACTTTTGACAATTAGAATAGCTGTACGAGAGCCACAGGGAACCCACTCTCTGATCTGCCATCAAAAGGGATGTTTATCAGTGCTCTCATTGGGCTTAGTGATAAAAGTCTTATGAATATCTCTCCAGTCCAGAGCTAAAGCAAATTACAGCAAATTTGGAGGTGTAGGAAAGTCTTACTTCTAAATACAGATAGTCTGAATTTATAATTTTTCTGATACTTCTTATATCTCAGTGGCTAGTAAGTTGATCCAGACAAGTCAGCACACAGCCAAGTGAAACATTATTAATCTAGAGATACCTTAGATGCAGTGAGCATACTGTGCTTGATGTGCAATCCAAGACATATGCTCACTGGCTTGTTTTTTTTAATTTTATATTTACATACATACATAATAATGGAGAGGAAAGACCAAAGCTTGCATCTGTGTTTGTACAGTTGTTTACATGTCCATATGTGTAGTTTCCCTCCGTATCCAATGTAGGAGATGCCTTTGTTTTAAATCTCTTTTTAAAGTAGTGATTTCTGTGCAATGTATGCAGCAAGCAGTGTTTAACTGTGTGCAGAGGTTCATTCTGTCACAGACATAAACTTGCAAGGGCAGAAAAACCACATCTACATGGATTCTAACACTTGTGTCATGAACCCAGGGCTTCCAGTTTCTGCTAGCTTCCATCAATAGCAGACCAAACAAAATGTTATTCTGTAAATTGATTGCACAGCAGATAGCTTTTCTTGTTGCAAATCTCCATAGTTCAGCAGATTGGAGGGGCGGGGAGGGAAAATCAAACTCCATGCCCTGGGAGCCAGGCTATCTTAGTGATTAACAAATGACCTCAGTGATTGAAGTCATTCCGGGCGCTTAATATTGCTCAAGTCTTTCTGTCTCACTCTCTCTTGCACTCTCTCTCAGCATAATAAAGCTAAGGAAATCCTGGAGACTAAATTCATTGCTGCAGATTAGTGACAGGAAGGAAACTGGATATGCATGAATTAAACAAGACCATTTGCCTTTTTGGATCTGCAGATGTTTTTCTCTCAGAAATGCAACCTCTTTTTTTTTTGCAGGTGACACCCACACATCTCCTTCACTTACTGGCGATGATAAAACAGGAGATAAACCACTGGAACTCATGCAGTAAGGCTTAATCTTTGTATGTCATCGTCACCAAGCAAAGCCACAGCAGTAGGAAAATAGAGCTGGTTTCTGCTGCTCATTTCTAACTGACATTTCTTCACCAGGTTGCTCTTGTAATCTGTGGACTCTTTGAACTCCACTTTGTACCTGAAGTCTTTTTACAGTATGTGGGAACTGCCATGCTGGGACTGGACTGAGCTGCGGTCTATTTGTCCCCTGCCTATATCCCAGTCCTCATTTTGCCTCTGCCTCAGTGGTTTGAAATAAGATTGCAGAACTACAATATAAACACCTTAATACAAATTTTAACTAAAAAAAAAATTTAAAAAAAGGGACAACAAAGGAACACTAATTTTAAAAAGCTCATACTGCAGGTTAAGTGTAGTATTTGTAAGTAAGTAATCATTTAGCACAGAAAAAGCAGAAATAAGGGTATTTCAAAATCTTTTTTGCCTAATATGGTTATTTTTAATTAAATGTCCTGAAATAATCACTTCATCATTCCAAGAGCTGCTTTTACTGGAGGAAATCCACTGCAGCTGCAGCTCAAACTAATGTGTTTCTCTAGTTGCTGGAGGAAAGCTCTGGAGTTGCTTAACTTCACTTTTCCTGCAGACAGCCATTCATCTATCCTACTTTTCCAGCCAGTTTGCTTGCCCATTGCCCTTTGAACATATTTTGTGCTTTCATCTCAAGAGTTTCTTGGGAGTTGACTGTGCACCTAAGTCCACACACAGGAACTAACCTGGCTTTCACCATCAATGCAGTTTATGTCTCAATAATGCAGAGTGGCCAAACAGTAAAAAGTAGTTCTTGAGGCAAGAAGGACTAGGGTGTTTTAAGAGTTATTTCTAGTGTATGGCTAGGGAGAGGCAAAAGTGTGAGTTGTGAAGTACATCCTACAGCTGGCTTGTTCATTTCCATTCCCTGAGGGATTGTTCCAGAATTTCACTGAAGAGGTTTCAGAGTGATTTCTCCTTTAACCCCTTTTGCTTCTCCCATCCTTACTGATGAATTGCTCCGTCACAGGGCTGGACTTGAAAGCAGCATCAACTGTGTGTCTGCAGGAGGGACAGAGGTTATTCCCCTGCTGTCCAATTCTGTATCTTCATAGTCTCATACTTTTTTGTTGTTAAGATAAAACATTGGCATTATTTCAACAATCAGCTAATGAGAGAAAGAGCTACAAGGAGGGCATAATGCTCTCGAAGGTGTCATTCCACCCTGGACTTCAGCCTCTGTCCGTAAGTATCAGGAGCTGATGAGCTATGCCAACAGAGAAAAAATTTTTGTTCTGCAGCCAGTTTTGATTTGTCTGTGGAAGGCTAAGAAACCCAGGAAGAAATGTGAGTAATCTACTTAATCATTTTCATGAGGGAAAAAAATAAATCAGCTCTCATCTTGACCACTGGTGTTTGAAGATTAAAGTAGCCCAAGGGCTGTCACAGGCAGCGAGCATAGCAGAAAAAATCGTTCGTTCTGACTCACGACAGTGATCTAATTTAGTGGGGCACTGACGAGGCTGTCGGGCACTAATTTAGCTATTATCTAAGCTAGCCTGATTGCTAGTTGTGCCCTGCTGCAGCCCTCCATGACAACAACTTGAGCTGCTGTCGGAATCTGTCACTCGCTGCGCGCCTGCTCCGGCCCCAGCCGGAGCTTTCCTGCAGCGCTGCGAGACAGCGGGACCGCCCCGCTCAGCCTGGGCTCGGCTTAGCAGGGGGAAATGCTAGTTAAAGAGTCACTCCGGTCACACAGCGGGGCAGAAGGGAGGCTGGATAGGAAAGCTTCCTTCTGGCATTTCCCGCCTTTGATTTCTTAATTTCGCAGCCTGATCTCTTGTCTTTTAAGGTATTTTAGTATATGATTTCTTAAGCTTCTTTATTTTAGAGGAGGATATTATAAAAAGGCTATTTGATCCTCCTATCAGATTGAAACCACTACGTTAATTTCCACAGAACTCTTACGAATTGCTTGCTTGCATCTTTGATTTTGCTGGTTAGGTAGTAATCTTTCCTGTTTGAAAAACCAGATTTGTTTCAACACATGAGAACATTTCAATCAATCCAGAATAGTTCCCTTGAAGGAATAAGAAGACAATGAGGAAAAGGAATGATGTAGCCAGATAATGATACAATGGCTATGAAAACTGTGGCATTTGAAAACTCCTCATAATTTCAATGGTCAGATGAATGAAACTGAAGAGCTCCTGGTAAGTTTATGTAATCTAAAGTTATATTTAATTCTTAATAAAACAACAGCAAGAGGAGCAGGAAATAAGAACCAGTGCCTTGATCCTGAAGATCCAGCAAGAAAAAGAAAAAAGAAAAAAAACAAACAAAAAACCCACCATGAATTTGAGATCATTCAACTTTTTGTTTCTTTGCAAATGGGTTAATATGGAATTGGCAGCCTCCTAATACTTTTTTCAGCCAAATTTGCCACATCATTCTATCTGCATGCCCTTGAGGCTGGAATTGTAACATATTGTAACATGATGCTCTAACAAATACACCTAATTGTGAAGAACAGTCCATTTGCATCAACTTAAGCAGCTAGTTTCCCTCTCACAGCCACTTAAAGACACTGACTTTGGCTACAAAACAACCTAGTGCTGTTTTCAGCCTTTACCAGTCTTTACTGGACCTTAACAATGCTAGTCCCGTTCTAATCACCCTAACCTGTTTTCTGGTTAGTATGAGTGACTAACGAAATGATGTCTTAGCCTGTGATTCATCTTGTACAACACATTTTCCAGTCACACAGCAAAACCCTTGCTGAAAGTGGAAAGATTTGATCTTTAGCACTGAGGACTTTGCCTGTGTGCTCTTCAAACTCAATATTTTTGTACCGTGTTTTTATTAGTCAAACATACCATCAGTAGCCAAAGTTGCTTCTGCTGTCAGAGCATGTCTGCATGCATAATGAACTTGGCAATAGCCTAGAACCTGCTTTGCACAGGAAATGAAATGTACAGAAATTAAATGCACTGTGGGAAGCATGTGGTCTGTGGGACCCCCACGTGGCTTTTTGGCACAACTGAAAATTTGAAAAATGGGAAAAATCAAAGGTATGAAACACCCCCAAATCCTTCAAAGAGAAAATATGTACCCATCCAATCACCCCATGGCTTCAGTCTCCTATGGCAACTCCATATCCCTAGCTGAGGAGGAATGTGGCATACAAGATGGTCTTTGTGAGTCAAGTAACCAGTCAGACAGGAGTACATGTGGAAGGCTGCACAATGGTGTTAGAGGTTAACAAATAGGATGGGTTCCTGAACTGCTGAGTCTGGAATAGAAACAAAAGGGAAAAGATGATGCACAAAGAAGGAAGATATGATATTGTTTGGCAGAGATGCAGGGTTCACATTTTTAGCTACAGAAGAAAAAAGAGGCGTTTTGGAAAAAATGTTATACAGGAGGATGATATTAGAATTTGGAATATTCAGACTTGAAGGAATGTCCAAGACTTTTGGCTTTAGTAAGCCTGACCACCCCAATGGGGAAGGTTCAAGACACTGCAGAGATAACACAGGCTACCTCCTCGGCATTTGTCTTCTAGGGCTTTGGTTCCTGGAAGCAAAGAATAGCCAGGCTGTTGTATTGTGCTGTGCTGGAGACGTGCAGAACAGGAATCAGCATACAGGAGCTGCACAACCCTTGGTTGACCCCTTGCAACATATGTTGATTGCTGTTCAGATGTGATGACTGCAGATCTGATGTTCATTTGACACTGAGACCAGAAAGTGGGGGAAAGGAGGATGAAAAATTAAATCACTCTTCGGCAGGATTATATTTGCATTTGAATTAAAACCCATGTGTAAGGCAGAAAACCCTACTGATTTACCTCTGCCCTCCATGAGGGACAGTTTCCAAGTTCAGAGCTGCAGCAGAGGGAGGTTTCTTTCTACATCATCCTATAAACAGCATATAGACCCCAAAGGGAGGGTCAGGGAGGGCCAGGGATGTCCTGGCATGTTATGCATTGCCTAAAACCAGATGGAATAAATTTGGATTGCTGTTTGTCAAATTTGCTAATCCACATATGCAGACTCCAGGCTTAACTAGCTTGCTTCTCTGCAAACACTTTATTTTAGGCCTTTAGAGTGGTAGATAAAAGGAATTTACTGGTATCCCATCTCCTACAGTCCATAATTCATGTTTCTATAGAGCTTTAATATAACAGCAATGTCCATTTTAACACAGTGCTGGGGCTTCTCATAACCTGATTCTCCTCATTTTTACATTTTATGTTTAGGATATTTCCCTGTATCCCCCTTCCTTTTTGGTCAGTCGAATGAATTAATACTTGTTGCAAGATGATCCAGGACTTACTTTCCAGTATCATGTCCTGCGAGCTACTAGTATCTTTTAAATACAGAAAGTACAAAAGTGTAAGGGAAAGCAAATTATACCAGTATTTGCTTTAGAAAGTAATACTTTCCTCTGACTAGCCTCAGGCCTAATACATTCATTCCATATTTAATTTACTGTATCTATTTAATAATTTTAAAAGGAGATTGCAAAAAGTATAATAGAGCTCTAGGGAATATAGATGCAATTAAAAAGATGCATCTATACCTAAATATGTATATATACAGTTTATGTAAAGAACACTATCCTGTTTAATGGATTTGATACACATTTTCCATCTCACCTTATACTTGCATTAGAAGTTGTGATTTTCCACAGCACATTGTGATCATACGTGTCGTTGTGTAAGACAGTGCCATACCTGACAGAGAGCTGTGATCAGCCTGCTGCTCTCTGCTGGGAGTGTCTCGATGTCCAACACGGGATCATTCATATGTCCCCTCCAAGCGAGGAGGGAGGTGGCAAGACATTAGCATTCCCCCAGTCAGTGCCAGCAAGGAGGGCCAGGCTGGGACCACACAGCAACTGCCATGTGTCCTGCCAGGTTCCTTCCCCTTTGCCCTGTGCATGTGTTCCTTGTGACCTCAGCTGCAGCACAAAGGTGCAGTGAGGGCTTTCCAGGAAAAGAGAGTAAAAATCGTATGTGGAAAAATGTCAGCCTTGGAGTGTTTGTGCATGTGGTGATGGGAAAGGAGAAGAAATAAATTAGACCTTGTTTTGAAGTTCTTCAGTTTAATCATAAGCTTTTGAGTTTGCTGAACTGAACCAGACCAAGGTTCTCAGGGCCTGCTGGGTCCATGACTGGATTCCCATGCTGAAGGCCCATCACTGACTCTTGGGCCTTGCTTACCATTGCCATTGGGGCTCTGCTGTCCCTGGCTGGGGCAGGGAGCACCTCACTGCTTCTCAGAGGTGGTACAGCACCCTCCAGGAACATGGTTCGTGGTGATAGAAGACTCAGAGTGGAAGATTCGTGGCCCGGTCAGCAAACTCAAATAAAACTTCCAATTTGGAAGTACCAAAGTTGTTTTCTTGGGTTAAGACATCAAAGCAGATTGTTGTCATGCTTCCACATCTCTACTTTTGTCTTGTCTCCTCAAAGAGAGAAAGAATCTTCTTATCCAATTTGAAAGAAATTAAATGTTGTACCATCCAAATTTTATTTCAAGGTGGGAATGCGTTGCTTTTTTCTTTTGTTTATTCAGTAGTCTTTATAGAATAAACATTGTCTCCTCAGTATGAAAAGGGATTTTATGCCAAGGGAACCCCAATTACAATTTAGGATGTCCTGTTATTGTAAATTCACTAGATTGAAAGAATGGATCATGTTTTGCTAAAGACTTCGTCCTACTCTGGCATGGAGCAGCCCTGAAGAACATCTTTAGAGAGAAAAGTAACTTCCAGATAGCACAAAGTTCCTCAAAGTGCTCAGAGCAGATCCTGCAGATGTCTGAGAACTTGCGGGTCCAATTTACAATGCTGAGAATGAAGAATCCTCTCACACCCCAAAAACTGGACACTTATGGGAAAAAAAATGAAGTGCTGTTCAGTTGCTTATAAGTTGAACCAGATTTTTGAAAGAGCTGTGGTACAACCTATGGGCCAGGAGATATGCATGAATTTTCAGGAGGACTTAGGAGAATACCTTTTGAATTCTCAAATTCAAAAATAAAAGTAAAAATCTTCTCAAAATCTGAGCTCTCTCTCTCCTAATGCTTTATGTATGACTTTGCATTCCCTTGATGCAGGAGGCAAACAAAAAAGAAATGGGATTGCTCATGATGAAGACAAATTTTTCTTCTTCTCCCACTTGTCTTGATTTTGTCTTCAGGTTGCTTGCTTTTTCAGTCTGTGGAGTTGCTTGGTCATGACTGCAGATGGCCTTATGAACTTTTACAGTGTCCAGCCTAAGGACTCACATGTTAAAGGTTTACTAGTTTTCTCTTAGCTTGATTTGTCCTGGCAGATCAATTGTTTCATAGCATAATAGCTTGGATGCCTTCTGACTCACCTTTTCTTCTTTAAGTACGTATTTTGAACTTCAAACTGTGTCTTTGTCTTATAGAGAAAAAAAGATTATTTTTTACATTTTGCCAGGTTTAACAGCAACTCTCTGAAGACTACACGTACAGAGAAGGAAATTAAGGGTTAAATCCAAGGCAGCAGTTATTGGAAAATATCAGAAGTTCTGCTTCTTCCAACAGCTGAGCAAAACCACAAGTGTTAGGAAGAAACCAGCTCTGACGTCTGATGCTATCTTTTCATCCACTGACAACCCTCAACACAAGCTGGGCCTCATTTTCAGCCATCATGGAGAAAATTTTTTGTTTTTTTACTACTCCCCCTTTTTATATTGGTTTGTTGGTCTGGATTTTCTTTTAGCAGATCAAAGTCTAGTTAATACTTGCTATGATGTACGTGTCCGTGGTCAACAGAAACAAACACGAGAAAATGAGAGGCTGTCCTTCCATGCCCCAGAGGAAGTGACTGCCCAGAAACACACGAGGCTCCTGGTGGGATCAGGGCTGCCAGGACCGGTACGCGGTGTAGTCTCGTGTTGGGGCATAGGATGGGTAACCCTTGTTCTTCTGGTATGGTGGGTGCCGGGGAATCATGTTCATGTAGTCACTCTGATGGTACATATTGTTTTTGAATTTTTGCTGTGGGAGAAGGGTGAAGACAACTGTGAAAACTCTCATGTTAACTGCTGACAGTTTTGGCCCTAGGTCCTTGTTCAGGGAGGCAGGTATATTTGTCAGGCAGCTTGAAGTTTAAATACATTTACAAAATAATTGGAACACATGTTCTCATCAAATAATCTATGGAATTTTCCCAACCTGAAACTAAGTCTCCAGTTTATCTGGTGAGAGATTTACAGTGTTAGTTCTTCAGATAAAGGAATGCTACACACCAAGGATACAAACTGGTGCCTCTCACCATCATCTTGCCTCTCTCATCTGTGGAATGATTCAGCAGAAACAAAAGAGTTTGAGCTGTGAAGGCTGTCCTCATTTATTAGGAAGTAAAGAGAAATTAGCTTAACTCAAACAGAACAAGAGCATGAAAAATCAGCCCAGACTATATGTATAATGGTTTTCCTACCATTTACAGCAGTAAGACACAATGCATATGTTGTTCTGAACCTTCCTTCAAGAAGTGAAAAAATCAGAGCTGATGTTAATCTTTTATGTCTCCTTATCTAGGCCTCAAAAATCCTACTTCCACTGCTGGATTCCTGCTTATAATGCCCCTGTGAGACAAGGGAAGCATTGGCTCTTTCAGAAATAACAGTAGCAGAAGACAGGTGAAATAATTTGCCTAAAATCACAGAGGAAATATGTGGCTACAGCAGCATTTCAACCTCTGACTGCTGCAGGCTGTGCACAAGGTTGGTGTTTTTTACGTAGCTTAAGGCTTTATTGACCAGGGGTAAGTAAAATGCTTCCGTGCTTTTTCCTTAATACTGATCATACCCTCTTTTTCAATCTCCTTTTTACTGAAATTTCCTTCCCATGTACAGAAATAGTAGCATATGCTGCAGTATACATGCACATGATGCTGTGGAATTGGAAGAGGCTTGCATTAGAAAATATGATGGCTGCATTATGTTGTATGTGCAGAGTGGGGCACTTACTATGAAATATTTTAAGCTTTTAAATATTAATGTTATAGATATGTGAAGTGTTGAATGTAAGTTACATACTGCTTAAGCCATGTAACGCAGCCGATGCATGTAAAGCATTTGATACAAAAGCTTTATCTCTGTGTGTTCATCTCCATAATACAGGATTTCTAATTCACCTAGGAGGTAGTTTTTCATGGGAGAAAGACATTTTGCTAGCAAGTATGATTGGTGGGCTGTTACAGGATCAAAGATTGCTACTTTTGCAACAGAAAGCAGTTTTCCTTCAGGGAAGGCAGAACGTTGTGAAAATAGACAAATCTTTAACTGCTTTCAGGAACTGATCAGGCTTGCCATGTCTGTCAAGTACCACAACTAGGAACTTTTTCTTACAATTCACAATGTCTTCTAGGTAGCTGTATTTGCATTCAACAACACTCTAAATACATCCAGAATCAGAATATATATCATCTGAAGAATACTGCCAGCAGTAATAACGGTGAAAACTGATGCAGCAAACAGCACACATGGCAATGCAGCCTTGACACTCTTGCTGAGGGCAGACATGTTAGTGGCAAAGTGTGAAGCCTTTAGGCAACAATGGAGAAAATGGTTCAGATTGTAAATGATGGATTTGAAGCTATAGCATCTCATCTGTGGCACAGCCACAGCAGCACAGCAGTGTAACACCAGCAGCTGCTCACGTAATCCTCTCAGCTCTCCTCAGAGTCAGCCTCTACAATAGGGACAAAGAAGAGCCACTTAACCGGCCTTTGCATTTTCCTGAGGCAGTGCCCCCTTTGATTGTTTTCCATTAGAAATAGACACAGATTGAGAATGTGTCCTTTTGTGAAACACTTAGCAGATCTCAAGCTTCAGCTAGCAGTGACCATGGCTTTCTGTATACAAGCAGCATTTAACCTGGCAGGGACTCTGGACCCTTTGTACAGGCTACCTCATAATTGTTGTGTTGGAAATTGCTATTTAACAATAAAAATAGAGGGGAAAGCCAGAGTGCAAGGAATTGAGTTATCTTTGTTCAAGTCTTTCTCACATGGAGTGAGTAGTGTAAATTTGCTCTGCAGATCACAGTCCTAAGACTCGTCAAGGAAAATGTCCTTCTGCTGCCCCTGTATCATGCCAGGATGAGAACTAGATGTGACTTGGGCCAGTCAACTCTCCAGAGAGATTAGAAAGCAAAAATTACGAGTCATAAGGCTGTCATAGCTTTCTTACTGTTGATGTACAGACAAAGGACTATTGAGATCCAGGTGCTCCTAGTCCGTTGTAGTCAAGCTGCCAGAAATAGTGGTTGCTCAAGGGAATTGCTGGATAGACACAAGATACCAGTGCAGATGGTTCTGAGCTAAGGACTCCCTATAGATTGTTTTATTGTAGGTGAGCTCTTGTCAGTATAGTCTCAAAGGGTTTTGTCAGAAATGCTTGTAGTTCTAGATTACCCTGACAGGTTCAGCTGGCAGAGGTGTCCAGGTATTGCTGGTGTGCAGGGCACTGCCAACTCTGTGGCATTACTATTTGCTGTAGGACTACACTGCAGAGGCTTGACTGCCCACCTGGAGAGCATCTGGTGTTTCAGCTCTTTTGGGGTACACCATGGGTGTGCATACATAGCTGGGATGAGGAAACACTGCTATCCTGTACTGAAGGAGTATCAGTGAGTTAGTGGTAAACACGGCAAGTATTAGCCGAGATATTAACTATAAGAGAATACAGAGCAAAGGAAAATACAAGTTTCTTACCCAGTAGTTAATAAACACTGCAGTTATTAGCATACTGTAGAGTGCAAGAATTCCAGTCACTGTTGCCAGAATCCACAAAGGAATTGCAGACTGAGGCTCTTGTATTTGGGTGGGTGTCTCTTTAAGGAAAGAGCAAAGAAAACTTTAAGTACATGAAATTTAAAACATCGATCTCTCCTTATTTACTCCTTGTTCCAATGTGTCATTTAATTAACCATCATTTTAGGATCTCTTCTTCAGGAGATCCAGAGCAGGAATGTAGTTTTAACTTGAAAAGTTAAACAAACTTTTCAAAAAGTTGGCGATCCAACTTTTTTTTTTAAGGAAACAAGCTGCCTCCAGCCACTATGTAAGGACTGTGTACAGGGAGGATACTGGCCTACAGAGGTTTCTCAGCTTACCTTTCACATGAATGACAGTCCCGTTGCTCTTCTCATTGTAGACATATGGGGGTGGATACATGACCTCAATTTTGCAGAAGTAGATGTCAGTTTGGTTGGCATTCATGTTCCAAAGACTGAAGATGACTTTATCTTTATCATGATACCCCTGGCAGTTGAATTCTTTATTTGAATTGCTGCTAATTTTGGTTGTGTTCCATGAGATAAAGCAAACTTCAACTGAACTGTCCGTTCCTTTGTGTAGCGAAGCTCGAAATTCTTTCCCTGTTCCATTGTATGTGTAGTTGCAAACTAGAGTTGCAGTTCGGTTAGCTACAATGAGCAAAGGATGCTGAGCCACTAAAATCTTGTTTTCTGGAAGGGAGGGGAGAAAGCGAGAAAAGCACTTGTTTATAAAATATAATATCAGAACCACACATCCTCCCATGCAACTCTTCTCCATATCTTCTCTCCCCTGCTGACACTCCCTACCAGGGTGTACAAAACCACCCATCTGCAGAAGCATTTTCTCACAGGAGCTATTGTTGCAGCTATCCACCTGTATGTAAATAATTACATCGTCTCTAGGGGACTATGAGATCAAGAGTGTTTTTCTTCAGAGGAACAGTAGCAGAGGCAGTGGCCCGTGATTAAGACTTCACATCAGAGCTCAGAAGCCTAGTCTGCATCTGTGTGTACGTGTGTATACATAAGGCCGTCTAAGTCTATCCTTCACTCAGCAAGCAGTTTCCTGGGGATCATGGAGTGAAAATACAATGAATCGACACCACAGTCAGATGAGAGAATATTATTTATACATGTGCTTTTAAATTCAAGGACTCCTGAAGAGTTTGCAGGTGCATTTCCTGAACCGTTTCAAGGGTTTGGACCTTGGGCAATGAACACTAAAAGCATGAACTGTTATCATTTTAATGTAAAATAAGTAATTTCTCTAGCTAGCAGCTGTAATAGATTCTTAATCTCTCAAAGGACTCTGGAGCTGACTAATTTGACACTGCATTGGCACTTAGCACTTGAATGGCCTGAAAAGAACATGTCACATGAATGTATAATTGAATTTTAATTGACCAGACCGATACATAAACAGGAAATGTTTTCTGACATGTAGACCTCTGTGCTATCATCTGCCAAACAATGAAACAAAGCAAGGAGTATGCAGAAAGACAACTTCTTCCAAGAAATGTCATCCGGCACAAATGAGGCCCTTCTTTTCAAATGATGACCCCTAAGTAAGAGGGAGTTGTGGCTTTTGAGCAAGAGACTTGCCAAAGCTTTTATATGACTGCTTAAGCTTTTATGCAAGCTCAGCTCAAAACCAGTTTGAATAGACTTTTACACATCCCTGAGGATCACTGTGGCTGTTGAAATGACAATTGTACCTCTTGTCCTCAAAATGTGGTGCATACCTAGATTCTTTCTACTTAATCTGTGTGGCGAGACTTCAAAAAGGCTAGTAAGAGAAATAAAGTGGGAAGGAGGCCAGATCCAGAATGACCAGAAAATTAGTGTTTAAAACTGTTTTTAACAATATTTAGGACCAAATGATACTTACTGTATTCATGCCTGCACAAGAAGATGAAGTACCCCAGCCTCTTGTGCAGAATACTCCTTTGGGATGAATGTGGTCCAGGGAATAAAGTAAACACAAAGAGATGCATAACATGGCCAGGACTAGTGGTAGGGAGTGGCAGTAAAAACAGCCTTTGGCTAGGAGATTCTCCAGTTACCAGCAGAACTTGTGAAACTCTTGAAGTTGTTAATTTTCTCATTGAAAGTCTCCTTTACCAGCCCTTGCTTCAAATGAGAGGAGGAGATGTGAGACAGGGAGACAAGGAATGCTCTACTGCCTCATCTTTAGCAAAGACAGATTGTAGCCTATCCTCCTTGTGTCTCTTTATTCAACATTGTTAGTGAGAGGGTGGAGGAGAGCTCATAACAGTTCTGAAATCCCATGTTTGCAGGCAACCAAAACACTGTGAAACTTTGGATGAAGGACAACATTTCCAGGCTTTACAGCAGAAAGAGACAAGGATCTTTGAATCCTAGGACAGAGTGGTGAAATAAGTATAGAGAAGGCGAGTCTTTACTCAAGATAATGCCTGTGGTGACTTTTCATCAAAATAAAGACATTTCAGCAAAACAATTCCGTTTCCTTTAATCAGCATTTTCCGACAAAAGCTCTCACATAGTCTTATAAGGCATTGTAGTATCGGCTGAGGTTTGGATTCCACCCCTTCAGACAAGGTATTTGATTATATTTTTGTTGGCCAGAAAATTGATCTTTGGCCTACGTGGCAATTTGCAAGTCTGTGGCAGAATTGTTCCACCTTTAGCACAGCAGAATTCTACACATCTCACTTGAGACAGAGTTATTCTACTGCTTTGCAGAATTTGTGCACTGCTACAACCCTGATTGTCACATGGACTGAAAACACCTTCAGGGGAGACCTTTTCTGTCTCCAGAGCTGACAACCAAAATAGGGTCCCAGAACAGACAGAAGCATTACGCTTCAAAAAGTGCTTGCCTGTTTTCATTGTACTTTCAAGTACTTATAGAAAATGAATGATGGATATTTTTTTGCTCAGCCTGATCATATTTTCTCTGTGATCAGAGGAAAGTCAAAGAACACTGAAAATCTCATCACTGAGGGACTCCCTTCAGATCTTATTTACACTCTTCTGCAGACCCCCATGACTTACCCCCATCTCTTTTGCTGTCATCAGCTAACCTGGATTCCTGACATTTAGACCTGTGCTTCATGCCTTGAGCTCTACTGTTTAGCTAGAGCTCTGGACTATTTATGTCCCTGCCATGATACAGTGCTAATTGGCAACCAGTCTCTTTTGATACACCTACCTAAAATGATAAATTCCTTCAACTTATTTTCTTGTCTTGAATCAGTTTGCCTTGTCTTGCAGGCTAGGCTTGATAACCCAGCTCCATGCTGCTGATGCTGGGATGCAGACTGGCTGAGCAGTGGGAAAAACCTTATTTGTGGGTCATTAAATGAAGATAGCTCCTACATGTTTGAAGCTGAGCACCCAAATCCGTTTTCACAAAGTGGCTCTACTACTTCAAATCTAAATTAAAGGAGGTATTTTTGTTTTCATTTATAGGAAGAACTCATTAGCACCACATGAACTGGTTGGGCTGCAATGGTAAAAGGGGCACGGCAAGCTTACCCCACTGGCATATTGGACAAGCCCTGCTGTCATCCTCGTCCTCCTCTGGGCTTGGAGGATTTTTGAATTGAAGAAAGTCAGTCATACTAAAATGTGTGCTATTTTCATGGGGAAGACAGAGTAATGCCAAACATCCCTCACTTCACATGTGATCCAAATAGGATTTGACTAGATTCTGAGCAGGATCTAGCCCATTCTGAGCAAACATGGGCTGAGGCTGCTTTTGCCTACACAGAGACAGGTTTTCCTCGTAAGTGTCACTTTGGGTTTGTTAAATGGTGGAACTCTGAAACATTTAGTCGGTTTTTCCTTTCCCCTAAATAGGGTTGTGATTGCCACTTCAGAGCTGTGTTCAGTCATGATGTGTAGTAATAAATATCTATATCTCAGCCTTACCCAGCCAGGAAAATAGCAGTTATGAAAAATCATTGTTTACAGTTTCAAAAAGCAGTGACTTTAAAAATGTAAAATCATTTCAATCAGTGTGCACAGGCTGAAAGCCTTCTCAGGATCTTAGGATTTATATGCAATTGTGTGTAATGAATGTAAATGAATGCTTGTTAAGATTTTTAATAGATTATTTGTGGTGCTGGACATTTCTTGTAATCACATGTGAGGGTGTTTTGGATCATGAAACAAAATGCTATCCATCTATAATATTTATAAAATACTGACTCTCTGATCATCAAACCCAATGCAAGCAAAACTCCACTGAAGTTTTTTATTTTTTCTATTCACCAAGAAAGTGAAATAGAGTTGACAAAGTATGGAAAATATCTATTTTGAGGTGTTGGGCTTTGGTTTTTTTTCCTCCAGAACTCTTCATGAATCATCATCAGCTATTGGAAAAAACATATTCTGCTAAAATATTTAGTACTCCTCTTCCTTTTTTATGCCAGTTGACTTCAAGAAGCTATTTTCCAGAGCAAGGTATCTTAGATAAGTTGGCATTTCTGTAAGCACAGGAAAGAAATGGCCCACATAACTCCCTGGGGGGACAGGGAAAACCCTAACTGAAAAAACTGAAAGGAATTTGTTTAAGCCAGAGGCAGAAAGTCACACAGGTATGTTATAAAAAAAGCTATTTACTTTTTGCTGCTGCTGGTCTGTTGTTCAATTATGTTTACTCTTCTTTCCTAGGTGCAAGGGTCCTTCTCTTTTACTTTAGTTTGAAGCCACCCAGCTGTGTGTCTGATGTGCAGCTGGGGGGATCCTCTCCTTCTGGCGCTTACAGACCTGCTTTCTGCTCAATTTTCCTGCTTTCCTGCAAGTACTTCAGGCAGCGGAGTACTCCAGAAAGCCCAGGTGACACTCATGCTTTAAGCAAATCCAGTGTGAGCACAGGGATTTTTCTTGGCAGTTTGTGATTTGTTTTTTTAGAACAAGAATTAGTTGATGTCATCCTACACTTGGCTAACCTTGCCTCATCCATCTTTTGCATTCTGGTGACCTTGGTAGGTTAGAAGTTGATTTTAAGCCCCAGAGACCATAAGCCAGAAGGTTATGTGGATAGTAAAAAGATGAGGTCAGTTGTGGTACACTGCAGTGGGAACCTCCTTATATTTCTTATTTTACAAAATACCAGAGACTTGATCTAGCTGCCTCTCTGACAGATCACAGCAAGGTAATTAGCCAACAAAAAGGGGAGGAGGACAAACTTTGTAAACATTAGTGTTTCTGCAAAAGTGAAATTACTAAACTAGTATTTTAAATCCCTTTCTATGATCTAAACTCAGCCTGCAGCAGCCACTGATATAGTCTAGCAACAGGACGAACTCTGTTGATTTTCCCAAACCAAAATACCTGGGGCTTATAATGCACTTCATGGCTTGAGGAAGTCCTGCAGGGTTTTGACCTGCCTTAATATTTTCCATGTACTAAGGAGCAATCATCTTGAAAATGAAGAGTGAAGAAAATCGATGGGGAAAGGATGAGAACCCTGAGAAGCAAATGACCTCATGTGCTTCTGTTTAAGAAGTTGAACAATCTTGGTGAGTCTGTTGGAGAAAACAGTTCTGTTTTCAGAACTCCAACACAAGTTCTTCATGCAAAGCAAGTGTATATATATCTATAAAGCCGTGGCATAACACCTGTGTCTGAGAACTACACATTGTAACTTATTTTGTTGCAAATCAAAAGCACTGCTTAAAAGCTGTTCACACCTCATGGAAATGTGTTCAGAACTGTTAACCTACTGCTGATATTTATCCCCTCCTGGAATTAGTGTCTTCTTTGACAACCCAGGGGCCTGCTGTGGAAATAATTATGATATTGCAAACATAGAATTATAAACATGGGAAAGGACAAGGAAGAAAAAATCTATGATTTCTTAAAGAAATGTAGATCACAGTTTCATGCAAACTTCAATGCCTTCACTGAGGAAAATAGTTATGGAAAAATAATGTAAAAATAAGAAAAAAATAGATTCAATTGCATCTCTCATACTAGAAAAGTGAGTTTTTAAAGATGTTCTCTATGTTAGAAATTTTGTACTGGAAACCAGAATTTTTTTCCTATCTGTAACTTCCCTGGAAAATACAAAAAACTGATATTTGAAGAAGATGCAATAACAACAGTTCACAGCCAGCAGTCTGAAAATTTGTCTGTCTCAAGATTATCCTAGCAAAAGCCAGCATCCTTTGCCTTGCTTTACATTTTAATATACCCACTGGAAAGGCATGTTAGATCTGAACATAGGAACACTGCATCAGCAAGACATCACCAAAATAAATACCCTCAGCCACAACAACTGAAGAGTCAGGGAGATTCACTAAGACTAGGGATTTCAAAATCACAATTTTTTTTTTTCTTTCCTCAAGATCTTCAGAAAGAAACTAAATGTCTAGTAAGTATCAGTAAGCCACTAAACAATGCAAAAATCAGAAACTTGGGAAGTCCTATTGTCCCATCTTTGAGCTCAGTAAGCAGCTCTGCTTTTGAGCATTTATTTGTTAATCCTGTGAGGATGTCATTGTACTCAGCACCGGAGCCCGTGACACTTAAGCCAGGCCATGGGGGAACCTCAAGCTTTACAAGTATATTTGGGGATGTGGAGAGTCTTCCCCAGGACAGGCGCTGGCACCAGGTTTGCTCAGACCCTCTGCCCCCAGGAAAAGGCGCTTGTGAGCAGAACTTGTAAAGCCTGGGGAGTAGGTGAAATAAACACCCCTCTACCTATGCATGCAATTTCCAAATGGATCTAGAGAGAAGTCAGATTAAAAGAAAGATCTTAGGTCTTATGGCAGGAGAAAAATTGTCCTCTCAGTTATAATGAGTTGATCCATTTGCAGACTTGGCAGCGTGCTGTCTCTCCCCTTTCATCCAAACAAGAAGAATCAATGCAAAATTAATTCCGAGCTATATCAGACCTTCTACCCCTTGATGATCAAAGCGAGAAAAAATTGGTGAAAGGACTGAAATGCGAGGGGTTTTTGTTACCTGTTACATCAGCAGTGGGGATGAAGCAGAGCACCACGAGGATCCCCAGAAGCATGGTGCTAATGGGGGGCCTGCTGCCTTGTCTCCACCCCCTGCAGGCACTGCCACGACTCCCAGCGCCCCACAGCACCAGCCGTCCTTCCCTGTGGGGCCAGTCTGCAGCCTCAGGTGCTCACACAATTTCTCTCCTCCCCCTTCTACAGCACATGATACACTGCCAAGTAAAACTACTTTAACAGCAATGCTTGAACAGGAAATTAAATTGTTTGCTGATTTCAGTCTTAGGAAGTTGCCTCTGCGAAGCTCATTAATGCTTAAAAGGTGTTGGAAGCCTGCATTTCATGATAGGGACTGCCAGCCCTGTATTGCAAGGTGTGGTTATGTCTGGGGCTCTGCAAGGCTGCTCTTGTCAGGGAGGAACGGACTTCCCTAGGGATGCAGTGCTTTTTTAATTTAGCAAGAGTACATACACATGTACACTGGTTCCATCATCATGGGAGACGCAAACACCAGTTCCCAAGTTCCTGGTGGCCAGAGCTGATCCCTCAGAAAGTTGTGTGCTCAGGAAACTTCACTATTCCTCACTCCTACAAGCAGAAATCTTCCTCTCTTGGCCTGCCATCTTGCTTCTGCCTGTTTTCCCAGCCCCTGGCAACACCAACATTTTTGGCAGTAGTTTGTTTGTTTCTCTGCATCTGCTTGTTGCCTCGAATACAGAGCCAACAGCACAGGAAATAGTGATCTGGAATACCTTCATATTTTGAAAAATATCCCAATTTGTGAATGAGTGCAAGTGTAATCCAGTTAATATCTAAATAAAGGCAGCATGCAACAAACACATTGCTCAGTCAGTGCTTTCATGGGGGCCTTCTTATGTAAAGTTTTTTTCTTCAGCTCATCAGGTAAATGCTTTGCAAGCTCAGTGTCACCTCTTCCCTTGCAAGAGCAAGTCATGAGAGCCAGATGATGGCTTTTATAACTGTGAGGAGCTCTGGTTATTACATCTGGTTTTTTTGGTCCACCAAAGTAGAAATATTTAACTGTATCAATGCCTGTCACTTTCTTTGATTTATTCAAGAGAAAAGGGAAGGTATCTAGCAGGAATACTTTCAAGAAAATTGGGCAGTTATAGAAAGGGATGAAGGACCATGTACTATTCTTTCATATCCCTTAGTATCTGAAGCTTTTAGACCATGTTTCATCAGAAATTACAAATGCAATTTATGAGCAGCCTTAGCTGATGTATTTAATTGCAGCCTAGAAATTTAAACAATATTCTTTTGTTTTGTAATCAGTGTTAGTTGCCTATAATACTGAAAGTTTTGGAATTTCCTCAAATTAATTAAAAAGTACAAAAGAGAAAAAAATAAGATTCTCTCTTATCCCACTTTTGTGCTATCTAGATAAATCTCCTGACACATTTTTTTTACTTATATGAGTGTATCTGCAGTTACCAATAAAATCGTCTTAGCTTAACTTGTAGTGTGAATCCCTCAAAAAAGTTACAAAATTCAGTACCTTTTTGCTGAATTGCTGTCACAGAGATGAAAACCCACTGCTGGCTCTGGTAACATCTGGCTCTGGTAGCTCCACTTACACAATTTGCATCTTGGCTGTCAGATCCTTTCTGTATTCGGGATATGGACTGGAAATGCACAAGGAGTGCATTTTACCCTCATCACAGAATTAGCAGAATATATTTCAGAGAGAGAGATACTGATATTAATTTTCCTGGCATACATTGGCAAAGGGGCACCATTCAGGTGGAAACCAGATTATAGAAACAGCTATGCAGGAGGAGATCCTGCTTTAAGAATACCATTACTTAAAACCTGAGGGAACAGTGTGCACTCTCTGGGTGAGGTTCCATTTATTCCCTTCCATCCCTTATTGCTCGTCATGTGCCTCTCCCATTGTGAGGACAGACCATGGCACTGATTGCAAACAGGGACTGGACTGGTGGAATGAAGGAGAGGAAAGAAGGGGCCAATGGACAATTATCCACTGTGGCTCTAGAGACCAAGCTGTGATGGATTATTTCTCTCTTAGTTGATGAATAGGGGTACCAATGTTTCCTTTTCAGAGCTTCTTGTTTTGGGTTGTGATTTTAGTTTTGCCTAATCATTTCTTCTTTGATCTCTGGAATGAGGAAGGGTGCTTTTCTTGCCCCAAATAGCTTTTGGCTCATCTGCACTTCTTGGTTTTCTAGGATTTTAAAACCCTTGTGTTCCTGAGGGTATGGCTCCTTTCCTTCTCAAAATTGCATCTCTTCCTCTAATTTAAACTGTTCATTTCCAATCACTTAGATACTTGGCTTTGCCGCTTCATATGTGTGATCTTTTTCCAAAATTATCCTGAGGGTAGGAGAAGAAGATATTTTAAGTTTTAGCAAGTCATCTTGTGCTTAGGACAAACTACATAAAAGTTTATCTAGGAAAAAAAAAATGTCTGAAAATGTCTGTCGGTGTGCCCTCACTCTTAAATGTTCATTATTCTCCCACCTCTCAAACTATCTCTCCTTCTATATCCTGAGCATTACCCAAGAGTGTTCTGCACTAACATTAATTCAGGCAGTATTGACTTCCATTCTAACCCCATTTTCCATTCATATTTCAGTCTGTTGAGTCTGTCTGTACACTGACAGACAGGATCTGCTTGCTGTCACAGCAATGGAAATCCAGACTAACACTGTAATTTCACTAGAACTAGAGCTCTGAGAGCACTGAAAGAGCTAAAAATGCCATTTGACCATGTTTGGGTAAAAGAATGTTTCCATCCCATCACAAAATGGCTGAAATTGCAGTCCAAGAGAAGTAAATCAAAGGTTTGGAAATAGTTTTCCATGGTACACAAGAATCTAGAGTATGTGTTTGGGCTTTTTACTCATCACTGTATGTAAATAAAACAACAGTCTAGGTATTTGATCATAGCTTTTCATGCCTACCGTTAAAAAAACACACACTGACAGGAGCTATGACATGAGTTTCAGAGAAATCTAACAGGATCTAGTACAGTTTCTTAAGGAAAATATCCTTCTAAAAGGTTTCTGAAGGATATTTCTGGATATCTTTCAGCGTACAGAGAAATCCCAAGCAGGCTGCCAGTTTGTCTTTACATTAAAGAATGAGGAGGTAATGACCCACATATCTTCAGCCAAGTGTTCAGCTGTTAAAGTCAAGAAAGACATTCCAGATTTTTTATGATTAAACAAGTGGATAATTTAGAAGGTAATTTTAAAATAAATGAAGCCTCCCTTTAGTCGCTGGAAGTTGCATAGTGCCATAATTGTTGCCAGCACATACTCCTGTTCTCAATCAAATAAAAATGTATATGCTTACTAGAAGAAAATTGCATCAATATAATATCATTCACTTATTTCTGAAGACTCCAATCTGATGGGAGACAGTAGGTCTCTAAAATTCCCTTTTAACTATTATAGACAATTAACTTTTATGTCCCTATACTGTCCAGCAGCTACATAGTAAGATTAAATGTAACAATTATCTGAGTCTTCCTCTTGCTTCCCTACCACAAATAATTATGACACAGACCTTGACTGAGTAGTCTAGGTAGGCATTCTTTTGCTTGTTCTGCATGTTTGTATGTTGTCAGCTGCTAAAGTAAATGATATCTTTCTTACAACTGCAATTCTTAAAACATCTTGATTCTTCCATTGCTGCTCCAGGTAATGATTTGTTTTGAAAAAGTGCTATGCACCCTTGATACAGATGGAAAGTTGATTCTTTCACATCTTGCTTATAAGCATGTGTGCTTTAACTAGCTGCTGTAGAGGTGCAGAAGTAGGGTGACATGCTATTCTTAACTAGAAAGACAATAAATTATGTAGTTATTCACCTCCTGCTATGTCTAGTATGTTGGACCAAGGAGCTATATTGCATTTGTCACCTGAAGCTCTTCATAAAGTTTCATGTTGTTATCTTCACTTAACAGATGGAGAATGGAATCACAGCAAGATGAGGAGACATGCCTGAGGACATGCCTTATGTTAGTGGCAGGGCTAGGAACCTCTACAAGTAGCCCTGGTAAGTTGTGTAACTTGCTAGGTCTGACCAGTTTTCTGATGGCCTCAATTCCATGTTGTCATTTCCCATGCACACTGATGAATTTTCATGAAGTGTTTTTATATCCTTCTTTCTGTGAGTCCAGGTACCTTCATATCACAAGGGCAAACATTAGCCTTAGAAGGAAATGTCAATATACTCCTTCAGAGGGAATTTTAAGTTGTTTTTCTGTAACTTAAAATGTTACAACTGATGTCTGGTATGTAGGAATCTTCCAGGGCCAGAACTAAATATGACATGTCACAGTGGAAAGGGAGCTTTCTCTTTTGGAAGGATGTGAAATTTTTGTTTCCAGCCCTGAATATAGCAGTCTAAATGTGTCACTAACATAGGACTAAGCGCTGCCATCAAACACATACAAACCTGAAAGAAAGCTTGAAAGCCTTCCCTGTTTGGGGAAAGAAATATTTCCTTGACAGACCAAATACTTTTAATGCTAGTAGATGAAGCTGTTCATTAGTGTTTGTTGGGAAAGGGACAGGAGTTCCCACATCTACATTCCTGGCTCTTTTCAAGTCGAAAATCTCATCCAGGTTTCAAAGTTGTAACAATTTATTCTGGCTGTATGTATTCCTGGTTTGAACTGTTAGAACAAGTCTTAAAGGAGATAGATTAATGAGTGGGGGAAAAATGGATCAAAGCTGCATGATTAACTCCATCTGTCACCTGTCTGTAATCTGACATATGGCTGCTGCTTCATTAGAGACCAGTGTTTAGGTAGGAAGACCTGAAATAAGGCTCACAGGTGAGTACATATATATGCTAAATGTTCTGTGATAAAAACATTTAGAGATTAGAGATAGAAAAAGGATTTTTGTTGACTGCACTGCTGGGTGCTTTTTCCTCTTGGGTAGAGAAGCTGGAGAACCCTACATATTACCATGGAAGGTATGGCAGAGAAGCAGAGTTGCCCTGTATAGGAAGGAGTTTGGTATGTCTCCTTCTTTCAAAGGAGATAATTTATTTCCTTCTCCTTTGTCCTGCTGAAGACAAAAGAGATGAATAAGCACTGCAGATATATTACAAGCAATTTTAAATAAGAGGAAGCATCTTCCAAAGAACTCAAGACCTAGAAATCTTGAGCAGACAAATTCA